AAGACACAGGAACCCAGGTGGTGTGGCTAAGCGGTTGAGCGTCATCACATGCACCATGAGGTCATTGATTCGATTCCTGGTCAGGGAACATGCCTGGGTTGGGAGCTCGATCCCCAGTAGGGGGCATGCAGGGGGCAGCCGATCAATGACTCTCTCTCATTGATGTTTTTATTTCTCTATCCCTCTCTCTTCCTCTCTCTCTAAAATCAATAAGAACATTTTTTTTTTTTTTAAAGGACACAGGAGCTAACCTGAAGAAGTTTCCATTGGATAAAGATGTAACAATTTGAGCTTTAATAAGTATAATCATTTTAGTGGCTTGAAATCCATCAAATATGGTTAAATCCATGAGTTCTCATGATATTACAAAAGAAAAAAGAATTTGTCATCCTCAGAGGACTTGAGGGAACCACCTCATTATCTTGCAAATTGGTAAGGGGAAAGAAGTGAGCATTATCCTGCCTTGCCCAAATAAGCCATCCCACTGAGCAGATGAAGGGAAATACCTTTTTATAAATGTATTCTGACTAATAAAAGAAAACAAATGATAGAATTAGAATATCACCATTTTGCTATCCCCAGTGAAGTAGTAAGTATAAATACATCGACCTAGGATCCAAGAGATGGCAGTTCGATTCCCAGTCAGGGCACATGCCCAGGTTGCGAGCTCGATCCCCAGTAGGGGGCATGCAGGAGGCAGCCGATCAATGACTCTCTCATCATTGATGTTTCTACCTCTCCCTCTCCCTTCCTCTCTCTGAAATCAATAAAGATGTATATTTTTAAAAAGATTTTAAATGACATTTAAGAATATATCAAAAAATTTTCAATGTGCCAGAATAAATTATAGTGTCTAGATTGCTCATTTGAGTGATAAAAACCTAAAAAAGGCAAAGAAGAGGTCTCTAGACATATCAGAAATAACAGTTATGGGGAGAAGGAGGAGGTTGTAATCAGGATGGGGCACATGGAGAGGCTTCAGCAGTGGGTGGCAAAGTTACTTTTCAACTGGTTGCTGGTTAGAAGGGGGCTCACATAATAGTAATTTACTGAGCCATACATTTTTTAAAATGTGTTTTCTTTTATGATAAAAAGGATTTTAAAACAATTCCTCTGGTCAGGGCATACTAAAGGATTCATTCAATAAAGTTACTGTCTACTATGTGCCAGGCACTGTGCACGAAAGAAGGGTCCTGACTTGCCAGGGAAATGGTAAGCTCACAGAAAGCACGAGGACCTGAGGGCTGCTGTCTCTTCTGACTGGGAGATGTTTACATTTTACAAGTGCAGGATTGCTGGCTTCTACGGCTGCACTGGACTCCACCTTCTTCCCTCGGGCCTTCTCTGCTGAGCTGGTCATGAGCAGCTTGGGAAGCCAAGATGGAAAAGGGTGAGGTAAACAGTTCAGGAAAGACTGTGAAGATGAGCATATCCTGGGCCAAGAGGCTCTAAAAAGCAGAATCATTGTGCAAACAAGTATCCACAATTATGACTCAGAGAAAGAGTACAAAAGGGGGGGGG